TGGACAGATGGACACATGGGGTGGACAGATGGACGTGGGATGGACAGATGGACACGGGACGGACAGAGAGATGTGGGATGGACAGAGGAACATAGCACGGACAGATGGACACGAGGCCATCAGGTGGACATTGGGTGGTCAAATGGACACCGGGTGGACAGACGGACATGGGATGGACAGAGGAACGTGGGATGGACAGAGGAACGTGGAAGGTCAGATGGACATGACATGGGCAGAGGAACATTGAGTGGACAAATGGACACCGGGTGGTCAGATGGACACAGGATGGACAGAGGAACGTGGGATGGACAGATGGACACGGGATGGACACAAGAACAAGGGATGGGCAGGTGGACATGAGATGGTCAGATGGACAGAGAAACATAGCATGGACAGATGGACACTGGGTGGACAGATGGACGTGGGATGGACAGAGGAACATGGGATGGACAAAGGAAGGCAGAAGGTCAGATAGACATGAGATGGGCAAAGGAATGTAGAGTGGACAGATGGACATTGGGTGGACAGATGGACATTGGGTGGTCAAGTGGACATTGGGTGGACAGGTGGACATTGGGTGGACAGATGGACATTGGGTGGTCAGATGGACATTGGGTGGACAGGTGGACACATGGACGTTGGATGTGCAAACGTGGACAAATGGACACGGGATGGACAGAAGAACAAGGGACGGGCAGGTGGACACGCGGTGGTCAGATGGACAGAGAGTGGACAGATGGACATTGGGGGGACACGTGGACACAGGATGGACAGAGGAACGTGGGATGGACAGATGGACACGGGATGGACACAAGAACAAGGGACGGGCAGGTGGACATGGACAGAGGAACATAACGTGGACAGATGGACATTGGGGGGACAGATGGACATTGGGGGGTCAGATGGACACAGGATGGTCAGAGGAACATGGGATGGACAGATGGACACGGGACGGACAGAGAGATGTGGGATGGACAGAGGAACATAGCACAGACAGATGGACATTGGGTGGTCAGATGGACACAGGGTGGACAGACGGACATGGAATGGACAGAGGAACGTGGGATGGACGGATGGACACGGGACGGACAGAGAGATGTGGGATGGACAGAGGAACATAGCGTGGACAGATGGACATTGGGTGGTCAGATGGACATTGGGTGGTCAGATGGACACAGGGTGGACAGACGGACATGGGATGGACAGAGGAACATGGGATGGACAGATGGACACGGGACGGACAGAGAGATGTGGGATGGACAGAGGAACATAGCGTGGACAGATGGACATTGGGTGGTCAGATGGACACCAGGTGGACACAGGACGTGGGTTTGGGGCTCCCAGGTGAGTTCCAGCCCTGCCCAGGTGTATTTTGGGGTTCCCCAGGTGGGTTTTTGGGGTTCCCCAGGTGGGTTTTTGTCTCCCCCAGGTGTGTTTCTCTGCCCCAGGTACATTTTCGGGTCCCTCAGGTATATTTTGTCCCCCCGTGTGTGTTTTTTTTCCTCCCAAGGATTATTTTGTGCCCCCCAGGCGTGTTTCTCTCCCCCCACAGGTGAGTTTTAGGTTCCCTAAGTGTATTTTGGGGTCCCCAGGTGTATGTTGTCCCCCCAGGTGTGTTTCTCCCACTGCCCAGGTACATTTTGGGGTCCCCAGGTACATTTTTTCCCCCCCAGGTGTATTTTCTCCCTCCCAGGTGTGTTTCTCGCCCTCCCCAGGTGAGTTTTTGGATACTGAGGTGTGTTTCTCCCCCTTCCAGGTGTATTTTGTCCCCCCCAGGTGTGTTTCTCTCCCTCCCCAGGTGAGTTTTTGGACACTGAGGTGTGTTTCTCCCCCTCCCAGGTACATTTTGGGGTTCCCAGGTATATTTTGTCTCCTCCAGGTGTATTTTGTCCCCCCCAGGTGTGTTTCTCCCCTGCCCAGGTGAGTTTTTGGGGGCTCCTACCAGCAGGCAGTGCACGAACTCGGGTCCCCCCACGAGGGCGGTGAAGGTGCCCAACTGCTCCGCCAGGGCCAGCAGCACCTCGTCCTCATCGTAGATGGTGTCTGCGACCCCACAGGTGACACACCTGTCAATCACCCCACGCCCCGCCCACCTCCCCAAATCCTGCCCACTCCTCCCCCACACAGCGAGATTTTGACCAATTTTTGAGATTCCCACTGGAATTTTCCCACCTTTCCAGCATGCCCCGCCGTCACCTGGATTTTGGAGACCCCACCCCTCCCAAATTTTGGGATTTTCCCGCCAAATTTTGCAATTTTACCGGTGAGGAAAGGGAGCAGCTCGCTGCGGGTTCGCTCCACGCCCAGCGCCAGCGCGATGGTTGACAGCTTCTTGATGCTGTTGAGGCGTAGCTGGTGACGGGGAAAATGGGGGAAATTCAGGAAAATTCGGGAAAAATCCGTAAAAAAATAAAAAAATGAGGGAATAACCCCCCCATTATGAGAAAACTCCGCCCCCAAAGAGGCGCAGCCAATCAGGAACGGCGTCTCACGGCTCCGCAGCACCGCGGTAGAGAAGAGGCTTCTGATTGGCTCCGGTAAGCCCCGCCCATACCGGCGGCAGCCAATAGAATGCGGCGCTGCCGCGGCCTCGCGCTGCCCCGCCGCTAGGGGGCGCTGCGCCGGGCGGGGCGATTCCCCCCCCCCGCCTCAGACCGCTGCGGACCAATCAAAACGCGCCTAACAAACCCATACCGCCCCTCCAGCCAATCAGAGCGCGCCTTTCACCGCAATCCCCCAACCGCCCCACACATGTAACGCCGCCGCCCATTCGCCCGCGCCTGAGGGGACCGGGCCGCCCCATCCAATCAGCGAAGCCGTCTCATAGCGGCCATCACCAGCGGGGCCGCGGCCAGCGGGCGATGGCGGCCGGGCCCCGGTAGCCGCGGAAAAAGGCCCCGAAGCCCCGGAAAAGCCCGGAGGTACCGTGTCGATGCCCCGGCAGCGGTACCTGCACGTCTTCGTTGCGGAGCTCGTCGATGAGCACCGCGATGGGGTAAAGCGAATCGTCGCCGTCCGCCGCCGCCATCTTCGCCGCCGCCGCCGCCCCGGCTCTGAGGGGCCGCACGGGGCCGCCCGCTCCGCGGGTGCAGGGCTTCCGCGGCGCTGATTGGTCGGCGCCGCCGCAGCGCCCGCCTGGCGGCTCTTCCCATTGGTTCACGGTGCTGTCTGTCAGTTAAAGCCCCGCCCATGCGGACGGCGCGGTGAATCGCGCTCTGATTGGGCGAGGCGGGTGATTGACAGCGCGGGGGGCGGGGCGAGGCGTTGCTTGGCAACCCGGAGGCGCCGTGCGGGAGGCCGGGACGGACTGGGACAAACTGGGATGAACTGGGATGAACTGGGACCCGCCAGGGCCTGAACTGGGACAAACTGGGACAGGCTGGGATGAACTGGGACCCGCCAGGGCCTGAACTGGGACAAACTGGGACCCGCCAGGGCCTGAACTGGGACAAACTGGGACAGACTGGGACAAACTGGGACAGATTGGGATGAACTGGGACCCGCCAGGGCCTGAACTGGGACAGACTGGGATGAACTGGGATGAACTGGGACCCGCCAGGGCCTGAACTGGGACAAACTGGGACCCGCCAGGGCCTGAACTGGGACAAACTGGGACAGACTGGGACAAACTGGGATGAACTGGGATGAACTGGGACCCGCCAGGGCCTGAACTGGGACAGACTGGGACAGACTGGGATGAACTGGGACAGATTGGGATGAACTGGGACCCGCCAGGGCCTGAACTGGGACAGACTGGGATGAACTGGGATGAACTGGGACCCGCCAGGGCCTGAACTGGGACAAACTGGGACAGACTGGGATGAACTGGGACCCGCCAGGGCCTGAACTGGGACAAACTGGGATGAACTGGGACAAACTGGGACCCGCCAGGGCCTGAACTGGGACAAACTGGGTTATACTGGGATGAACTGGGACCCGCCAGGGCCTGAACTGGGACAAACTGGGTTATACTGGGATGAACTGGGACCCGCCAGGGCCTGAACTGGGACAAACTGATACGAACTGGGACCTGCCAGGGCCTGGACTGGTTTATACTGGGACAAACTGGGACCCGCCAGGGCCTGAACTGGGCCAAACTGGGTTATACTGGGACGCACCCGCAGCAAAAACCACCCAAAACCAGTAAAAACCTTTAAAAACCAGTAAAACCCACCACAACTGGGCCAGGCCCCGCCCCTTTAGGCCACACCCCCACAGAACGAGATGACGTCATTGACTGGCCACGCCTTTATTGGGATTGGGGGGGGGAACTGGGCCAGACTGGGATGAACTGGGAGGCACTGGGATGGACTGGGAGGGACTGGGATGGCACTGGGGTTGAACTGGGAAGGCACTGGGATGAACTGGTCTGAACTGGTGTGTCAGATGCATCCGGCGTGCCTCAGTTTCCCCAGCAGGCTCTCCACGCTCTATACAGCACTGGGATGAACTGGGACGAACTGGGACAAACTGGGACAAACTGGGATGAACTGGAAAGGCACTGGGAAGGCACTGGGGTTGAACTGGTCCGAACTGGTGTGTCAGATGCGTCCGGCGTGCCTCAGTTTCCCCACCAAGCTCTCCATGCTCTGTACAGCACTGGGACAAACTGGGACGGACTGTGACGGACTGGGATGAACTGGGAGGGACTGGGCCAGACTGGGAGGGACTGGGACAAACTGGTCTGAACTGGTGTCAGATGCGTCCGGCGTGCCTCAGTTTCCCCAGCAGGCTCTTGATGCTCTGTACAGCACTGGGATGAACTGGGATGAAATGGGATGAACTGGGACAAACTGGGACAGCACTGGGATGAACTGGGAAGGCACTGGGGTTAAACTGGGACAAACTGGTCCGAACTGGTGTGTCAGATGCAGCCGGCGTGCCTCAGTTTCCCCACCAAGCTCTCCACGCTCTATACAGCACTGGGATGAACTGGGACAAACTGGGACAAACTGGGACGGCACTGGGAAGGCACTGGGACGAACTGGTCTGAACTGGTGTCAGATGTGTCCGGCGTGCCTCAGTTTCCCCACCAGGCTCTCCACGCTCTATACAGCACTGGGATGAACTGGGATGAACTGGGATGAACTGGGACAGCACTGGGGTTAAACTGGGAAGGCACTGGGATGAACTGGGAGTACTGGTGTGTCAGATGCGGCCGGCGTGCCTCAGTTTCCCCACCAAGCTCTCCACGCTCTGTACAGCACTGGGATGAACTGGGAGGGACTGGGATGGACTGGGATGAACTGGGAAGGCACTGGGGTTGAACTGGGATGAACTGGGAGTACTGGCGGGTCAGATGCGCCCGGCGTGCCTCAGTTTCCCCAGCAGGCTCTCCACGCTCTGTACAGCACTGGGATGAACTGGGACGAACTGGGATGAACTGGGAAGGCACTGGGGTTGAACTGGGATGAACTGGGAGTACTGGTGTGTCAGATGCGTCCGGCGTGCCTCAGTTTCCCCAGCAGGCTCTCCACGCTCTGTACAGCACTGGGACAAACTGGGATGAACTGGAAAGGCACTGGGAAGGCACTGGGGTTGAACTGGGACAAACTGGTCCAAACTGGTGTCAGATGCGTCCGGCGTGCCTCAGTTTCCCCAGCAGGCTCTCCACGCTCTCCACCTTCTCCCCGCCCGCCCTCGGGGGCGGCTCCTGCAGCTGCAGCAGCCGCAGCCGGGGGGGCCCCGCCGGCACCCCCAGATCGGCCGCCGGCACCACCTCCAGCGGCTTCTTCTTCGCCTTCTGCAACACCAAAATAGTAATTAAAAAATAAAATTTTTTAATAATTTTTTGGGGGAAATTTTGGTATTTTTTAAGGAATTTTTTGGGATTTTTTTGAGAATTTTTTGATGATTTTTTGAGAATTTTTTGATAATTTTTCGAGAATTTTTTGATGATTTTTTGAGAATTTTGGGGGGATTTTTGGATAATTTTTGGGGATTTTTTTTCAATTTTTTTCAACTTTTTTTCCTTTAATTTTTTGATATTATTTGAGACTTTTTTTGGATTTTTAAGCATTTTTTTAGGATTTTTTTGGGGAATTCTTAGGATTTTTTGAGAATTTTTAGGGATTTTTTTAAACTTTATGAGATTTTTTTTTTTTTGAACTATTTTGTATGATTTTTTAGGGTTTTTGGGGGGATTTTTTTGAGATTTTTTTGGGGGAATTCTGGGGTTTTCTTAGAGATTTTTTTGGGATTTTTTGGGGGGATTTTCTTGGGTTTTTTAGGGATTTTTTTAGGAATTTTTGGGACTGTTTTAGGGCTTTTTAAGGATTTTTTTTTGGGGGGGGAAAATTTCTTGGAATTTTTTCGGAATTTTTTTCAGGAGATTTTAGAAAATTTTTAGGATTTTTTTTGGTGATTTTTCAGGATTTTGGGGAGGGATTTTTTTCAGGAATTTTTTTTTTTAGGAATTTTTTAAGGACTTTTTGGGGAGTTTTTAGGAATTTTTTTAGGGATTTATTGGGATTTTTTTTTAAATATTTTTGGGGTTATTTAAGGAATTTTTAAGGAATTTTTTTAGGACTTTTTCAGGGTTTGTTTTTTTTTTCCAGATTTTTTTTTGGCTTTTTTTGGGGATTTAGTTTGATTTTTCAGGGAATCATTTTGAGAATCCCCGGGGAATTTTGGGAACACTCCTGGAATTTAGGGAAATCCCAGGAATTTTGGGAATTCCCAAAAATTTAGGAAGGATCCCATTCCCAAGTGTCAGGACAACAGGTCTACCCCCATTGGACCCTATGGGAACACAGAAATTTTGGGGAATTTCGGGAATTTTGAGGAATTTCCTGGGATTCTGGGGCTCCTGGGGATTTGGGGAGCATCCCTGGATTTGGGGAAAAGTCTTGAAATTTGGGGGAACCCCAGGAATTTTGGGAAAATCCCATTCCCATTGATGCCAGGCATTCCGGACAACAGGTCTACCCCCATTGGACCTTATGGGAACACAGAAATTTTGGGGAATTTTGGGGAATTTCCTGGAATTTTAGGGACTTGGGAGAACCCCATAAATTTGGGGAACAGCCCTGAAATTTGGGGGATCCCATAAATTTTGGGAAAACGCCATTCCCTATAACCCAGGTGTTGGGACGTGTCCACCCCCATTGCGCCCTATGGGAACCACCGCGAATTTTGGGGAATTTCGGGTATTTTGAGGAATTTCCTGGGATTCTGTGGCTCCTGGGGATTTGGGGAGCATCCCTGGATTTGGGGAAAAGTCTTGGAATTTGGGGGAACCCCAGGAATTTTGGGAAGATCCCATTCCCATTGATGCCAGGCATAGCGGACAACAGGTCTACCCCCATCGCGCCCTATGGGAACCACCGTGAATTTTGGGAAATTTTGGGAATTTTGGGGAATTTTGGGAATTTTGGGGAATTTTGGGAATTTTGGGGAATTTCCTGTAATTTTAGGGATTTGGGAGAACCCCATAAATTTGGGGAACACCCCTAAAATTTGGGGAATCCCGTAAATTTTGGGAAAACACCATATCCTATAACCCCAGGTGTTGGGACAACAGGTCTACCCCCATTGCACCCTATGGGAACCACTGCGAATTTTGGGGAATTTTGGGAATTTTGAGGAATTTCCTGGGATTCTGTGGCTCCTGGGGATTTGGGGAGCATCCCTGGATTTGGGGAAAAGTCTTGGAATTTGGGGGAACCCCAGGAATTTTGGGAAGATCCCATTCCCATTGATGCCAGGCATAGCGGACAACAGGTCTACCCCCATTGGACCTTATGGGAAACACGGCAAATTTTGGGGAATTTTGGGAATTTTGGGGAATTTCCTGTAATTTCAGGGACTTGGGAGAGCCCCATAAATTTGGGGGATCCCATAAATTTTGGGAAAACGCCATTCCCTATAACCCCAGTGTTGGGACAACAGGTTGACCCCCATTGCGCCCTATGGGAACCACCACGAATTTTGGGGCATTTCGGGAATTTTGAGGAATTTCCTGGGATTCTGTGGCTCCTGGGGAATTTGGGGAGCATCCCTGGATTTGGGGAAAAGTCTTGGAATTTGGGGGAACCCCAGGAATTTTGGGAAAACGCCATTTCCTATAACCCCAGGTGTTGGGACAACAGGTCTACCCCCATTGTGCCCTATGGGAACCACCACGAATTTTGAGGAATTTTGGGGAATTTCCTGGAATTTTAGAGACTTGGGAGAGCCCCATAAATTTGGGGAACAGCCCTGAAATTTGGGGGATCCCATAAATTTTGGGAAAACGCCATTCCCTATAACCCCAGGTGTTGGGACAACAGCTCTACCCCCATTGCGCCCTATGGGAACCACCACGAATTTTGGGGAATTTCGGGAATTTTGGGGAATTTCCTGGGATTCTTGGGCTCTTGGGGATTTGGGGAGCATCCCTGGATTTGGGGAAAAGTCTTGAAATTTGGGGGAACCCCAGGAATTTTGGGAAAATCCCACTCCCATTGATGCCAGGCATAGTGGACAACAGGTCGACCCCCATTGCGCCCTATGGGAAAACCATGAATTTTGAGGAATTTTGGGAATTTTGGGGAATTTCCTGGAATTTTAGGGATTTGGGAGAGCCCCATAAATTTGGGGAACAGCCCTGAAATTTGGGGGATCCTGTAAATTTTGGGAAAACGCCATTCCCTATAACCCCAGGTGTTGGGACAACAGGTCCACCCCCATTGCGGCCTATGGGAACCACCGCGAATTTTGGGAAATTTGGGGAATTTCCTGGAATTTTAGGGACTTGGGAGAGGCCAATAAATTTGGGGAACGCCCCTGAAATTTGGAGGAACCCATAAATTTTGGGAAAACGCCATTCCCTATAACCCCAGTGTTGGGACAACATGTCCACCCCCATTGCGCCCTATGGGAACCACCACGAATTTTGGGGAATTTCGGGAATTTTGAGGAATTTCCTGGGATTCTGGGGCTCCTGGGGAATTTGGGGAGCATCCCTGGATTTGGGGAAAAGTCTTGAAATTTGGGGGAACCCCAGGAATTTTGGGAAGATCCCATTCCCATTGATGCCAGGCATAGCGGACAACAGGTCTACCCCCATTGTGCCCTATGGGAAACACGGTGAATTTTGGGGAATTTTGGGGAATTTCCTGTAATTTTAGGGATTTGGGAGAACCCCATAAATTTGGGGAACAGCCCTGAAATTTGGGGAATCCCATAAATTTTGGTAAATGTCATTCCCTATAACCCGAGGTGTTGGGACAACAGGTCTACCCCCATTGCGCCCTATGGGAACCACCACGAATTTTGGGGAATTTCGGGAATTTTGAGGAATTTCCTGGGATTCGTGGGCTCCTGGGGAATTTGAGGAACATCCCTGGATTTGGGGAAAAGTCTTGAAATTTGGGGGAACCACAGGAATTTTGGGAAGAGCCCATTCCTGTTGAGCCCAGGCATAGCGGACAACAGGTCTACCCCCATTGGACCTTATGGGAAAACCATGAATTTTGAGGAATTTTGGGAATTTTGGGGAATTTCCTGGAATTTTAGGGACTTGGGAGAGCCCCATAAATTTGGGGAACAGCCCTAAAATTTGGGGAATCCCGTAAATTTTGGGAAAACACCATTCCCTATAACCACAGGTGTTGGGACAACAGGTCTACCCCCATTGCGCCCTATGGGAACCACCACGAATTTTGGGGAATTTCGGGTATTTTGAGGAATTTCCTGGCATTCTGGGGCTCCTGGGGAATTTGAGGAACATCCCTGGATTTGGGGAAAAGTCTTGAAATTTGGGGGAACCGCAGGAATTTTGGGAAGATCCCATTCCCATTGATGGCAGGCATTCCGGACAACAGGTCTACCCCCATTGGACCCTATGGGAACACAGAAATTTTGGGGAATTTTGGGAATTTTGAGGAATTTCCTGGAATTTTAGGGATTTGGGAGAGCCCCATAAATTTGGGGAACATCCCTGAAATTTGGGGGATCCCATAAATTTTGGGAAAACACCATTCCCTATAACCACAGGTGTTGGGACAACAGGTCCACCCCCATTGCGGCCTATGGGAACCACCGCGAATTTTGGGGAATTTCGGGTATTTTGAGGAATTTCCTGGGATTCTGGGGCTCCTGGGGATTTGGGGAACATCCCTGGATTTGGGGAAAAGTCTTGGAATTTGGGGGAACCCCAGGAATTTTGGGAAAACGCCATTTCCTATAACCCCAGGTGTTGGGACAACAGGTCTATCCCCATTGTGCCCTATGGGAACCACCACGAATTTTGAGGAATTTTGGGGAATTTCCTGGAATTTTAGGGACTTGGGAGAGCCCCATAAATTTGGGGAACAGCCCTGAAATTTGGGGGATCCCGTAAATTTTGGGAAAACGCCATATCCTATAACCCCAGGTGTTGGGACAACAGGTTTACCCCCATTGCGGCCTATGGGAACCACCACGAATTTTGAGGAATTTTGGGAAGTTTGGGGAATTTCCTGGAATTTTAGGGATTTGGTAGAGCCCCATAAATTTGAGGAACAGCCCTAAAATTTGGGGAATCCTGTAAATTTTGGGGAAACGCCATTCCCTATAACCCCCGGTGTTGGGACAACAGGTCTACCCCCATTACGCCCTATGGGAACCACCACTAATTTTGGGGAATTTCGGGTATTTTGGGGAATTTCCTGGGATTCTTGGGCTCTTGGGGATTTGGGGAGCATCCCTGGATTTGGGGAAAAGTCTTGGAATTTGGGGGAACCCCAGGAATTTTGGGAATATCCCATTCCCATTGATGCCAGGCATAGCGGACAACAGGTCTACCCCCATCGCGCCGTATGGGAACCGCCGCGGATTTTGAGGAATTTTGGGAATTTTGGGGAATTTCCTGGAATTTTAGGGACTTGGGAGAGGCCAATAAATTTGGGGAACGCCCCTGAAATTTGGGGGATCCTGTAAATTTTGGGAAAACACCATTCCCTATAACCCCAAGTGTTGGGACAACAGCTCTACCCCCATTGGACCCTATGGGAACCACCGTGAATTTTGGGGAATTTTGGGGAATTTCGGGAATTTTGGGTATTTTTGGGACCCCGAGGAGCACGCACCATGATGTTGGGCAGCGTGGCGTAGCGCGGCTCGTTGAGGCGCAGGTCGGCCGTCAGCACCGCCGGCAGCCGCAGCCGCAGCGTCTCCAGGCCCCCGTCCACCTCCCGCTGCACCTGCACCGCCCCCGGCTCCAGCGACACCCGCGAGGCGAACGTGCCCTGCGGGATGGGGGCACTGGGAGGGACTGGGAGCGACTGGGAGGGACTGGGAGGGACTGGGATGGGCTGGGAGGGACTGGGAGGGACTGGGATGGACTGGGATGGGCTGGGAGGGACTGGGAGGGACTGGGAGGGACTGGGATGGACTGGGATGGACTGGGATGGGACTGGGATGGACTGGGAGGGACTGGGAGGGACTGGGATGGACTGGGATGGACTGGGAGGGACTGGGAGGGACTGGGAGGGACTGGGAGGGACTGGGATGGGACTGGGAGGGACTGGGAGGGACTGGGAGGGACTGGGAACAAACTGGGAGGGACTGGGATGGACTGGGAACAAACTGGGATGGACTGGGAAGAACTGGGAGGGAACTGGGAGGGAGCTGCAGTTCACAAATCTGCCACCAGAGGGAGCTACGAAAACACTGGGAGTGCATTGGGGGAACTGGGAGTTACTGGGAGGGACTGGGAGGGACTGGGAGGGACTGGGAGGGGATTGGGAGGGACTGGGAGGGACTGGGATGGACTGGGAGGGAACTGGGATGGACTGGGAGGGAACTGGGATGGACTGGGAGGGACTGGGAGGGAACTGGGATGGACTGGGATGGGACGGGGATGGGACTGGGATGGACTGGGATGGACTGGGAGCGACTGGGAGGGACTGGGAGGGACTGGGATGGACTGGGAGGGAGCTGGGAGGGACTGGGAGGGACTGGGATGGGACTGGGATGGGACTGGGAGGGACTGGGAGGGAGCTGGGATGGACTGGGAGGGACTGGGAGGGAGCTGGGAGGGACTGGGAGGGACTGGGATGGACTGGGAGGGAACTGGGATGGGCTGGGATGGGCTGGGATGGACTGGGAACAAACTGGGAGGGAACTGGGAGGGACTGGGAGGGGATTGGGATGGGACTGGGATGGACTGGGAGGGAACTGGGATGGGACTGGGAGGGACTGGGAGGCACTGGGATGGGTTTGGGAGGGACTGGGAGGGACTGGGAGGGACTGGGAGGGAACTGGGATGGACTGGGAGGGACTGGGACGGGACCAGTATGGACTGGGACCAGTATGGACCAGTTTGGACTGGGACAGGACCAGTTTGGAGCGGGCCCGGCCCCATTTCCAGAGCCCATGGGGTTAATGTATCCCAGGATGCCCCGCGGTTTGGGCGGATGTATCCCAGGATGCCCCGCGGTTTGGGCGGATGTATCCCACAATGCCCCGCGGTTTGGGCGGATGTATCCCACAATGCCCCGCGGTTTGGGCGCATGTATCCCACGATGCCCCGCGGTTTGGGCGGATGTATCCCACAATGCCCCGCGGTTTGGGCGGATGTATCCCATGATGCTCCGCGCGCGGCCTACCTGCGGCCAGTCCAAGATGGCGGCCAGGATCTGCCCGGTCTGGTTGCAATCGTCATCGATGGCCTGGGGGGGGACAGCTGATCGATAGGGGATCGATAGGGGATCGATAGGGGATCTATGGGGGATCTGTGCGGGATTCACCCCCACCCGGGGCTGGGGGAGCGGCCTGGGGGGGATCTATAGGGGATCAATGGGGTCAATAGGGGATCAATAGGGACCTATGGATGATCGATAAGGGTTTATAGGGATCAACAGGGATCAATGGCATTCTATAGGGATCTATAGGGGATCAATGAGGTCAATGGGGGATCAATAGGGACCTATGGATGATCTATAAGGGTTTATAGGGATCAACAGGGATCAATAGGGAAACAACAGGGATCAATGGGATTCTATAGGGATCCATAGGGGATCAATAGGAGATCTAGAGGGATCAATAGGGGAGTCTATAGAGTTCCATACAGATCAATAAGGACCAATGGGAGTCTATAAGGATCTATAGCGAATCAATAGGGATCTATAGGGATCAATAGAGTTCCATAGGTTTCTATAGGGGATCCATAGGGATCAATAGAGAATCAAGAGGGAATCAATAGGGATCAATAGGGATTGATAGGGGATCGATAAGGATCAATAGGGGTTCGATAAGGATCAATAGGGATCAATAGGGTTCCATAGGGTTCTACAGATTCCTATACAGGATCCATAGGGATCAATAGAGAATCAACAGGGAGTCAATAGGGATCTATAGAGATCAATAGGGGATCTATAAGGATCAATAGGGGATCAATAAGGATCAATAAGGATCAATAGGGTTCCATAGGGTTCCACAGATTCCTATAGGGGATCCATAGGGATCAATAGGATTCTCTGGGGTACCCATAGGGTTTAACAGGGAACCAATAGGGAGCCGATAGGGGATCAATAGGGAGCCAATAGGGGATCAATAAGGATCAATAGATAATAAATAGGGATCAATAGGGTTCCATAGGGTTCCACAGATTCCTATAAGGGATCCATAGGGATCAATAGAGAATCAAGAGGGAATAAATAGGGATCAATAGGGATATATAGGGATCAATAGGGGATCAATAAGGATCAATAGAGGATCAATAGGGATCAATAGGGGATCAATAAGGATCAATAGGGTTCCATAAGGTTCCACAGATTCCTATAGGGGATCCATAGGGATCAATAGGATTCTCTGGGGTGCCCATAGGGTTTAACAGGGAACCAATAGGGAGCCAATAGGGGATCAATAGGGATCAATAAGGATCAATAGAGAATCAACAGGGATCAATAGGGTTCCATAGGGTTCCACAGATTCCTATAGAGGATCCATAGGGATCAATGGGATTCTGTAGGGTACCCATAGGGCTTAACAGGGAACCAATAGGGAGCCAATAGGGGATCAATAGGGATCAATAGGGGATCGATAAGGATCAATAAGGGATCACTAAGGATCAATAGGGTTCCATAGGGTTCCACAGATTCCTATAGAGACCCATAGGGATCAATAGGATTCTGTAGGGTACCCATAGGGTTTAACAGGGAGCCAATAGGGGATCAATAGGGATCAATAGGGAGCCAATAAGGGATCAATAGGGGATCACTAGGGATCAATAAGGATCAATAGGGGATCAATAAGGATCAATAGGGTTCCATAGGGTTCCACAGATTCCTATAGGGGACCCATAGGGATCAATACGATTCTCTGGGGTACCCATAGGGCTTAACAGGGAACCAATAGGGATCTATAGGGATCAATAGGGGATCAATAGGGATCAATAGGGGATCAATAGAGAATAAATAGGGATCAATAGGGTTCCATAGGGTTCCACAGATTCCTATAGGGGATCCATAGGGATCAATAGAGAATCAACGGGGAATCAATAGGGATCAATAGGGGATCAATAAGGATCAATAGGGCATCACTAAGGATCAATAGGGTTCCATAGGGTTCCACAGATTCCTATAGGGGATCCATAGGGATCAATAGGATTCTATAGGGTGCCCATAGGGTTTAACAGGGAACCAATAGGGAACCAATAGGGATCAATAGGGGATCAATAAGGATCAATAAGTGATCAATAGACAATCAATAAGGTTCCATAGGGTTCCACAGATTCCTATAGGGGATCAATAGGATTCTATAGGGTACCCATAGGGTTTAACAGGGAACCAATAGGGAACCAATAGGGAGCCAATAGGGGATCAATAGTGATCAATAGGGAGCCAATAGGGGATCAATAGTGATCAATACCGCCCCACCTGCTTGCCCAGCAGCACCAGCTGCGGCTGCAGCCGCCGGGCCAGCGCCGCCAGAGCCACGGCCACTTCCCGGGGCCCCGCGGCCGCGCCCTCGGCCAGCTCGGCCAGAACCGCCCGGTCAGCGCCCATGGCCAGGGCCGTGCGCAGCGTCTCCTGCGGGGAGCAAGGGGTTAATGGAACGGGCCAAAATTGCTGAAATTCACCCCAAAAAATACCCCAAAACCCCCCAAAAATAACCCGAAATTCAAGGTCTCCTCCGGGGAGCAAGGGGTTAATGGAACGGGATTGCTGAAATTCACCCCAAAAATGGCCAAAAATACCCAAAAATAACCCGAAATTCAAGGTCTCCTGCGGGGAGCAAGGGGTTAATGGAATGAGCCAAAATTGCTGAAATTTACCCCAAAAATGGCCAAAAACGGCACAAAAACGACACAAAAATACCCAAAAATGGCCAAAAAATACAAAAAAAAACCCCAAAATAACCCGAAATTCAAGGTCTCCTGCGGGGAGCAAGGGGTTAATGAAATGAGCCAAAATTGCTGAAATTTACCCCAAAAATGGTCAAAAACGGCACAAAAACGGCACAAAAATGGCCAAAAATACCCAAAAATAACCCGAAATTCAAGGTCTCCTTGGGGAGCAAGGGGTTAATGAAATGGGCTGGAATTGCTGAAATTCATTCCAAAAACGGCACAAAAATACCCAAAAATGGCCAAAAAATACCAAAAAAATACCCAAAAATAACCCGAAATTCAAGGTCTCCTGCGGGGAGGAAGGGGTTAACGGAACAGGCCGGAATTGCTGAAATTCACCCCAAAAACGGCACAAAAATACCCAAAATTAACCCGAAATTCAAGGTCTCCTGCGGGGAGCAAGGGGTTAATGAAATGAGCCAAAATTGCCGAAATTCACCCCAAAAACAGAACAAAAATGGCACAAAAATACCCCAAAATACCAAAAAATAACCCGAAATTCAAGGTCTCCTGCGGGGAGCAAGGGGTTAATGGAATGGGCCGGAATTGCCGAAATTCACCCCAAAAATGGCCAAAAATGGCACAAAAATACCCAAAAATAACCCGAAATTCAAGGTCTCCTGCGGGGAGGAAGGGGTTAATGAAATGAGCCAAAATTGCCGGAATTCACCCCAAAAAATACCCAAAAATAACCCAAAAATAACCCGAAATTCAAGGTCTCCTGCGGGGAGCAAGGGGTTAATGAAATGAGCCAAAATTGCCGGAATTCACCCCAAAAAATACCCCAAAACCCCCCAAAATAACCCGAAATTCAAGGTCTCCTGCGGGGAGGAAGGGGTTAATGAAACGGGCCAGAATTGCTCAAATTTACCCCAAAAATGGCACAAAAATACCCAAAAAAACCCAAAAATAACCCAAAAATAACCCGAAATTCAAGGTCTCCTGCGGGGAGGAAGGGGTTAATGGAATGGAACGGGATTGCCGAAATTCACCCCAAAACCGGCACAAAAACAGCACAAAAATACCCCAAAAATACCCAAAATTAACCTGAAATTCAAGGTCTCCTATGGGATGTAAGGGGTTAATGAAATGGACTGGAATTGCTGAAATTTACCCCAAAAACGGCACAAAAATGGCCAAAAATGGCACAAAAATACCCAAAAAATACCCAAAAATAACCCGAAATTCAAGGTCTCCTGCGGGGAGCAAGGGGGTAATAAAATTCGCTGAAATAGGAAAATATCACCCCAAAAATGGCCCAAAACCAGCCAAAAACACCAAAAAAAGCCAAAAAATACTCAAAATCACCCAAAAATAGATTTAAAAGCCCCAAAAATACCCAAAAGATGCCCCCAAAAATATGCCCAAAAAAAAAATTTTTAATGCCTCAAAAATACCAGAAAAAGGCCCGAAAAATTGCCCAAAAATTCCCCAAAAAACTGCCCCAAAATTACCCCCAAAAATGCCCCAAAAATCCCCAATTTTCCCAAATTTTCCTCAGTTTCCCCCCAATTTCTCCCCCCAGGTGTGCCCAGGTGTGCCCAAACCCCAAAATTCCCCCAATTTCCCTCAGTTTCCCTCCATTTTCCCCCCATTTTCCCCGTTTTTTCCCCGTTTTCCCCCCCAGGTGTGCCCAGGTACCCCCAGGTGTGCCCAGGTGCCCTCAGGTGTGCCCAGGTGTGCCCAAACCCCAAAATTCCCCCATTTACCCCCCATTTTCCCCCCGTTTCTCCTGTTTTTTCCCCGTTTTTCCCCATTTTTTCCCCGGTTTTTCCCCCGTTTCCCCCCCAGGTGCCCCCAGGTGCCCCCAGGTGTGCCCAGGTGTGCCCACGCCCCAAAATTCCCCCAATTTCCCTCCATTTTCCCCCCATTTTACCCTGTTTTTTCCCCGTTTTTTCCCCCCAGGTGCCTCCAGGTGTGCCCAGGTGCCCCCAGGTGTGCCCAAACCCCAAAACTCCCCCAATTTCCCCCATTTTCTCCCCAATTTCCCTCAATTTTTCTCCATTTTTTCCCTGTTTTTCCCCCGTTTTCGCCCCCAGCTGTGCCCAGGTGCCCCAGGTGTGCCCAGGTGTGCCCAGGTGTGCCCAAACCCCAAAATTTCCCCCAATTTCCCCCATTTCCCCCTCAATTTTCACCGTTTTTCTCCGTTCTTTCCCCGTTTTTTTCCCCGTTTTTTTCCCATTTTCCCCCCCAGGTGCTCCCAGGTGAGTTCCCAGGTGTGCCCAGGTGTGCTCAAACCCCAAAATTCCCCCAATTTGCCACATTTTCCCCTCAATTTTTCTCCATTTTCTCCTGTTTTTTCCCCTTTTTTTCCCCGTTTTTTTCCCATTTTCCCCCCCAGGTGTGCCCAGGTGCCCCCAGGTGCCCCCAGGTGCCCCCAGGTGTGCCCAGGTGTGCCCAGGTGTACCCAAACCCCAAAATTTCCCCAATTTGCCTGAGTTTCTCTCCAATTTGCCTCAGTTTCCCCCCAATTTCCCTCAATTTTCCCCCGTTTTTCCCCATTTTCGCCCCCAGGTGCCCCCAGGTGTGCCCAGGTGCCCTCACCTGGCTGGCCTTGGTGCCCAGCGTTGCCACCACCACCTCAGCGGCGGCTCCGGCCTCGCGCAGGCGCACGGCCTCCTCCAGCGCGATCTCGCAGAAGGGGTTCAGCGAGTGCTTCACGCCCTGCGTCTGCACCGCCGCCCCGCCCGGCGCCACCCGCACCTGCCGGGCACACCTGGGCAGGTGAGGGCGGCGGGGTGCCACGGGGAGGGGGTTGGGGGGTGTTTTGGGGGGAATTTTGGGGGGTTTTTTGGGGTTTTTTTGGGATTTTGGGGGGCATTTTGAGGGTTGGTAGGTGGGTAAAGGTGGGTAAAGGTGGGTACAGGTGTACCCAGGTGTGCCCAGGTGTGCCCAGGTGTGCCACCTCCACCCCAGACTAACAATGACCCCAGGATTTTGGGGAATTTGGTTTTTTTGGGGGATTTTGGTGGGGATTTTGAGGGTTGGTAGGTGGGTACAGGTGTGCCCAGGTGTGCCCAGGTGTGCCACCTCCACCCCAGACTAACAATGACCCCAGGATTTTGGGAAATTTGGGGTTTTTTGGGTATTTTAGGGGGGATTTTTGGGGGATTTTGAGGGTTGGTAGTTGGGTAAAGGTGGGTAAAGGTTGGTACAGGTGTGCCCAGGTGTGCCCAGGTGTGCCACCTCCACCCCAGACTGAAAATTATCTCAGGATTTTGGGATTTTTTTGTGGAATTTGGGATTTTTTTGGGGGTGATTTTTGGGGAATTTTGGGGATTTTGGGGGGGGGTTGGTGGGTTGGCAGGTGGGAAAAGGTGGGCACAGGTGGGCACAGGTGTGCCCTCTCCACCCTAGACTGAAAATTATCTCAGGATTTGGGAACTTTTGGTGGTTTTTAGGGGATTTAGTGGAAATTTGGGTTTTTTTGGGGGGTTTTAGGGGTGTTTTAGGGGGTTTTGGGGGTTGGCAGGTGGGCACAGGTGTGCCCAGGTGAGTTCTCTCCACCCCAGACTGAAAATTATCTCAGGATTTTGGGATTTTTGGGGTTTTCTTGGGGGGATTGGGAGGAATTTGGGGTTTTTGGGTGGATTTGAGGGAGTTTTAGGGGATTTTGGGGGTTGACGGGGGGGTAAAGGTGTGCCCAGGTGTGCCCAGGTGAGTTCTCTCCACCCCAATCTAAAAATGGTCCCAGGACTTTGGGATTTTTTGGGGTTGTTTGGCTTTTTTTGCTGGTTTTTGGGGGTTTTTTAGTTTTTGAGGGATTTTTTTGGTTTTTTTAGGTGTTTTTTGGGGGTTTTTGGGGTTTTTTTCAGGGTATTTGGGGGTCACGCGGGGGGAGGGGTTTGGGGGTGCCCAGGTGTGCCCAGATGTGCCCAGGTGTGCCCAATACACTAAAAATTACCTCAGGATTTTGGCATTTTTGGGTTTTTTGGGACTTTAGGGGGGGGGGGGGTTGTGTTTTCTGGTGTTTTAATGGGTTTTTTGTGCTTTTTTTGGTGTTTTTGAGGGGATTTTTGGGTTTTTTTGTGGTTTTTTGCTGTTTTTTTCGCATTTTTTTCGGGTTTTTTTTGGGGATTTCGGGGGATTTCGGGGCTCCGGCGGTGGGAGGGGGTTGGTGGGTGCCCGGGGGTGCCCAGGTGTGCCCAGGTGTGCCCAGGTGTGCCCAGGTGTGCCCTTACCTTGACGGCGAAGTCAATGACGCGCTTGACCCCCACGAGCACGCGCAGCGCCGCCATTGCTGCCCCGCTGGCCACGCCCCCAACGCGGAAACCACGCCCACAACCCCTCCTCACACTGACGTCATCGCAGTGGAGCCACGCCCACCATAACATCATCCTTGCTGACAAGCCACGCCCATTATGCAAATATGAACCGAAACCACGCCCCCTGACGTAATTCGTCGTCAAGGGGCGTGGCCTCCGCGCGTCACGTGACGGGAAGAGGCGCCCGGGCCGAATTTTTGGGATTTTTTTGGGGATTTTTCGGGGGTTTTGGCGGATTTTGGGGATTCTTGGGGAGGGTTTGGAAATGTTTGGGGATGTTTTATATTTTTGGGGACATTTGGGATTTTTGGGGGATTTCTGGGGTGATTTTTTGGGATTTCTTGGAGATTTTTGGCAATTTTTAGGATTTTGGGGGTTTTGGGGGGGTTTTGGGGTTTTTCTTTGGGATTTTGGGGGTTTTGGGGGATTTTAGGGGATTTTTCTGGGGATTTTTGGGCGTTTTGGGGATTATTTTGGGGGGGGTGGGTTTCTTTGTGGTTTTGGGTGGTTTTGGGGATTTTTTGGGGATTTTTTGGAAATTTTTGCAGATTTTTTTTGTTTTTTGGGTTTTTTGGCATTTCTGCGTTTTCGGGTTTTTTTTTTGAAATTTTTGGGATTCTGAGGGGATTTTTTTGTTTGTTTTGGGGGATTTTTTTGTGGCTTTTTATATTTTTGGGGATTTTTTTTTTACTTTTTTGGGGTTCCGGGGGGGTTTGTGATTTGTTTTTTTTTTTTGGTGTTTTTTTATGTATTTAGTGTTTTTCGTTTTTTTGTGACTTTTTGGTGATTTCTTGGTGACCTTTTGGGGTTTTTTGGTCTTTCCACGAGCAATAAACACCTGCACACACCTGGCCGAGTCACCTGTGCCTTTATTTGGGGGGGGTGGGGGGAGGGGATCGAGTCCAGGGGTGGGGGGAGGGGCCCAGGTGTGCCCAGGTGAGTTCCAGGTGTGCCCAGGTGAGGTCCAGGTGTGCCCAGGTGAGTTCCAGGTGAGTTCCAGGTGCCCCCAGGTGTGCCCAGGTGAGGTCCAGGTGTGCCCAGGTGAGTTCCAGGTATCCAAGGTGTGCCCAGGTGTGTCTCTCAGTAGTAAAGCTCCCGATCCCACCAACCTGGGAGGGAAAAAGACCCAGACAGGTGAGGGGGGGGCACCCCCAGGTGTGCCCAGTTACCCCCCAGGTGTGCCCAGGTGTATCCCAGGTGTGCCCCAGGTACCCCCCCAGGTGCTCCCAGGTACCCCCCAGGTGCCTCAGCTGTGCCCAGGTGTGTCCCCAGGTGTATCCCAAGTACCACAGGTGTGCCCAGGTGTGCCCAGGTGTGTCACTCACTGCCCGGGTGTGTGCCCAGGTGTCCCAGGTGTATCCCAGGTGTGCCCAGTTATCCCCCAAGTACCCCCCAGGTGCTCCCAGGTATCCCCCAGGTGTATCCCAGGTGTGCCCAGGTGTGTGCCAAGGTGCCCCAGGTGTGCCCAGGTGTGTGCCAAGGTGCCCCAGGTGTGCCCAGGTATCCCCCAGGTGCCCCCAGGTGTATCCCAGGTGTGCCCAGGTGTGCCCAGGTGTGCCCGGGTGTATCCCAGGTGCACCCAGGTGTGTGCCCAGGTGTGCCCGGGTGTGTCACTCACTGCCCGGGTGTATCCCAGGTGCCCCCAGGTGTATCCCAGGTGTGCCCAGGTGTGCCCAGGTGCCCCAGGTGTGTCACTCACTGCCCGGGTGTCTCCTCACGCCGAGTTTCCGGATCTCGTCGTAGACGAGGATGAGGAGCCCGAAGGGCATCGGCACCAACCACCACTGGAACCTGCGGGGCACACCTGGGCAGGTGAGCTGGCTGTGCCCAGGTGTGCCCAGGTGTGCCCAGGTGTGCGGGGGGTGGTGCCCAGGTGTTTTTGGGGGTTCCCAGGTGTGCCCAGGTGTGCCCCAGGTGTGAGGGGGGCGGTGCCCAGGTGGTTTTGGGGGTTCCCAGGTGTGCCCAGGTGTGCCCGGGTGTGCCCAGGCATGCCCAGGTGTGCCCAGGTGTGCCCAGGTGTGTGGGGGGCGGTGCCCAGGTGTGCCCAGGTGTGCCCAGGTGTGCGGGGGGTGGTGCCCAGGTGTTTTTGGGGGTTCCCAGGTGTGCCCAGGTGTGCCCCAGGTGTGAGGGGGGCGGTGCCCAGGTGGTTTTGGGGGTTCCCAGGTGTGTCCAGCCGTGCCCAGGTGTGCCCAGGTGTGCCCAGGTGTGCAGGGGGCAGTTCCCAGGTGTGCCCAGGTGTGAGGGGGGCGGTGCCCAGGTGGTTTTGGGGGTTCCCAGGTGTGCCCAGGTGTGCCCGGGTGTGCCCAGGCATGCCCAGGTGTGCCCAGGTGTGCCCAGGTGTGTGGGGGGGCGGTGCCCAGGTGTGCCCAGGTGTGCCCAGGTGTGCCCCAGGTGTGCAGGGGGCGGTTCCCAGGTGATTTTGGGGGTTCCCAGGTGTGCCTCAGGTGTGCCCAGGTGTGCCCAGGTGTGCAGGGGGTGGTTCCCAGGTGTGCCCAGGTGTGACGGGAGCGGTGCCCAGGTGGTTTTTGGGGATTCCCAGGTGTGCCCAGGTGTGCCCAGGTGTGCCCAGGTGTGTGGGGTCGGTTCCCAGGTGTGCCCAGGTGTGCGGGGGGCGGTTCCCAGGTGATTTTGGGGGTTCCCAGGTGTGCCCAGGTGATTTTGGGGGTTCCCAGGTGTGCCCAGGTGTGCCCAGGTGTGCCCAGGTGTGCCCAGGTGTTTCGGGCTCACCTGATGGGCATGAAGTTGAAGACGTTGGGCATCCCCGGGCAGTAGCAGAGGAAGCAGCCGATGCACACCTGGAACACGATGGCCACCAGCAGGGTCCGGTTCCTGCAACACACCTGAGTGTCACCTGTGTCACCTGTGGTGTCACCTGTGTCACCTGTGTCACCTGTGTGAGCTGCCACCTATGTCACCTGTGTCACCTGTGATGTCACCTGTGCTACCTGTGTCACCTCTGTGAGCTGTGTCACCTGTGTGAGCTGCTACCTGTGTCACCTGTGTCACCTGAGCTACCTGTGTCACCTGTCTGTGACATCACCTGTGTCACCTGAGCTACGTCTGTCACCTGGAACACGATGGCCACCAGCAGGGTCCGGTTCCTGCAACACCCCTGAGTGTCACCTGTGTGACGTCACCTGTGTGACATCACCTGTGTGACATCACCTGTGTCACCTGTGTGAGCTGTGTCACCTGTGGTGTCACCTGTGCTACCTGTGTCACCTGGAACACAGCCACCAGCAGGGTCCGGTTCCTGCAACGCACCTGAGTGTCACCTGTGTGACGTCACCTGTGTCACCTGTGTCACCTCTGTGAGCTGTGTCACCTGTGGTGTCACCTGTGTGACATCACCTGTGTCACCTGTGGTGTCACCTGTGTCACCTGTGACGTCACCTGTGCTACCTGTGTCACCTGTATGAGCTGTGTCACCTGTGTGAGCTGCTACCTGTGTCACCTGTGTCACCTATGACATCACCTGTGTCACCTGTGTCACCTGTCTGTGACATCACCTGTGTCACCTGTGTGAACCCAAATTCTCCAATTTCCACCAATTTCCCTCAAATTTTCACCAATTTTCCCCAAATTTTCACTATTTTTCCCCATTTCCCCTTCCCCAGGTGTGCCCAGGTGTGCCCAGGTGTGCCCAGGTGTGCCCAGGTGCGCCCAGGTGCCCCCAGGTGTGCCCAGGTATCCCCAAATTCTCCAATATCCACCGATTTCCCCCAAATTTTCACCGATTTTCCCCAAATTTTCACCATTTTCCCCATTTCCCTTTCCCCAGGTGTGCCCAGGTGTGCCCAGGTGTGCCCAAATTCTCCAATTTTCACCAATTTCCCCCAAATTTCCACCGATTTCCCCAAATTTTCACCGTTTTTCCCCAAATTTTCACTATTTTTCCCCCTTTCCCCTTCCCCAGGTGTGCCCAGGTGCGCCCAGGTGTGCCCAGGTGTGCCCAGGTGTGCCCAGGTGTCCCCAAATTCTCCAATTTCCACCGATTTCCCCCAAATTTCCACCAATTTTCCCCAAATTTTCACCGATTTTCCCCAAATTTTCACCATTTTTCCCCATTCCCCCTTCCCCAGGTGTGCCCAGGTGTGCCCAGGTGTGCCCAGGTGTGCCCAGGTGTACCGGAAGAGCCCCTGCTGCAGCAGGGAGAGCCGGCGCGTCTTGCGGATCAGCACGTCGGCGATCTGGCACACCTCGATGCTGATGAAGAAGACGGTGTAGCAGGTGTACTGCTGGTACCTGCGCTGGGCGAAGGTCTGCGGGCACGGCGCCAGGTGAGCCCAGGTGTGCCCAGGTGAGCCCAGGTGGGCCCAAATCCCACAATTTTCACCCGTTTCCCCCCAATTTTCTCTGATTTCCCCCCGATTTTCCCCCCATTTTCATCATTTCCCCCCACCCAGGTGCGCCCAGGTGTGCCCAGGTGTGCCCAGGTGAGCCCAGGTGAGCCCAGGTGAGCCCAGGTGCACCCAGGTGTGCCCAGGTGAGCCCCGCCAGGCCCAAATCCCCAATTTTCACCCGTTTCCCCCCAATTTTCTCTGATTTCCCCCCGATTTTCCCCCCCATTTTCATCATTTCCCCCCATTTCCCCTCCCCCAGGTGCGCCCAGGTGTGCCCAGGTGTGCCCAGGTGTGCCCAAATCCCCCAATTCTCATCAATTTCCCCCGAATTTTCACCAAATTTTCCTCAATTTCCCCCCAGTTTTCCCCATTTCCCCCTACCCAGGTGCACCCAGGTGTGCCCAGGTGTGCCCAGGTGTGCCCAAATCTCCCAATTCTCATCAATTTCCCCCCAATTTTCACCAAATTTCCCCCAATTTTGCCCATTTCCCCCCTCCCAGGTGCCACCAGGTGCCCCCAGGTGTGCCCAGGTGTGCCCAGGTGCCTCCAGGTGTGCCCAGGTATCCCCAAGTCCTCCCATTTTCACCCACTTCCCCCCAATTTTCACCAAATTTTCACCAATTTCCCCCAATTTCCCCCCAATTTTCCCCATTTCCCCCCTCCCAGGTGTGCCCAGGTGTGCCCAGGTGTGCCCAGGTGTGCCCAGGTGTGCCCAGG